GTGTAACGTATACAATCCCGTGGTTTTTAGTATATTCACAGAGTTGGGCAACCTTTACCACGATCCATGTTAGGATATTTTCATCACCTCCGAAAGAAACCCTGCATTCACTGGCAGTCACTTCCCATTGCTCCTCCTCCCACCCCTCAGCAGCAATCACTAATCTACTTTTTGTCTCTTCACATTTGCCTATTCTGGACATTTCATGTCAGTGGAATCAGACAGTATGTGGCCCTTTGTGTCTGGCTTCCTTCACTTCACATACTGTTTTCTAGGTTCATCCATGAATCAATACTTCCTTGCTTTTTATGGCTGAATAATGTTCCATCATATGGATAGATTGCATGTTTTCTGTATCCATTCATCAGTTGCTGGGCATTTGGGTTTTTGGCTATTATGAATAATGCTGCTGTGAACATTCATATAAGTTTTTATGTGAATATGTGTTTTAATTTCTCTTGGTTATATGCCTCGGCGTGGAATTGCTGGCTTATGTGGTAACTCTATGTTTAACCATTGGAGGAACTGCCCAGAGTTGTTTTCCATGGCAGCTGCACCATTTTGCATTTACACCAGCAATGCACGAGGGTTCCGAATTCCCCACATCCTTGTCAACACTTGTCACTTTCTGTCTTTTGATTATAGCCTCACTAGGGTGTATAAGGTGGTATCTCATTGTGGTTTTGATTTATGTTTTCCTGATCGCTAATGATGTCAGACATCTTTCTATGTGCTTATTGGCCGTTTGCCTATCTCTTTTCCTATTTTCATTTTTTTAATTTTTTATTATTTTTTAAATGTTTTATTTTTTTTTTCATGAGAGTCAGAGAGAGAGAGAGAGGCAGAGGCAGAGGGAGAAGCAGGCTCCCCGCCTAGCAGGGGGCCTGATGCGGGACTCGATCCCAGGACCCTGGGATCATGACCTGAGCCGAAGGCAGACGCTTAACCATCTGAGCCACCCAGGCGCCCTCTTTTCCTATTTCTAAATCAAGTTCTTTTTATTGTTGAGTTTTGAGAGTTATTTATATATTTTTAAATAGATCTTTTGAGATTCCTTATTTTATGGCATCTTTGATCTTTAACATATCCTATAACTCTCTAATCTGGGCGCCCCATTGCCCTGCCTCATTGAGTCATTCAAGCAGTGTTTACCATCCATCTCCTGTGTGGAAGATATTGTGCTTTGCATTCTCGAGTATATAAAATGAATTAAATGTCCACTGCCTCAAGGAGCGCAAAACCAAGTAGGAAGGGCAGTATCGTAGGGATAAATTTCTCTGGGTATTCAGAAGAAGTGATGACTTTTAGATTGAGGAGTCAAGGAAGGCAACATGAAGGAGGAGGCATTTTAAGTGACCTTTGCTGGATGCATAGGATTTAAGTATAAAAGATCGGAGGAAGAAACTGAGTAAAGGCCTTGGGGTTAGGTGGTGAGATCTCTGTGCAGTGATGTCCAGTCTGGTTTAACTTCTAGGGCTGACACTCTGAGAGCTTACAGAGGGGGATACTAGGAACAAAGGTTGGGAAGGCCATGGGACCATTGTTGGGTATGAATGCAGAAGCAGCCTGGAGGTTATTTCATCAGTGACGGACAAGCCCTTGACTGTTTGGGGTCCTGGTGGGTTGACATGGCCAGAATGCTGCTGTGGAAGACGGAGTTTACAGAGATCTGTAGGATGATGGGGTGACTAAAAGCAGCACTGCCAAGTTTCTGGCTTGGAAACGGACAAGTGCTTTAGAGGACAAGAAGGCCTGTAACGAAGAAACTCCTGTGGAAATTGTTTAATCTCGTGGTTTCCAAGTTTATGTGACCATGGGTTCACTTTCTGGTTTTTTGAGCATATGACACCTTTGCATTTTGCTGCCTTCATTCAGTGTTACACGAGTAATAATTGCTTAGTAAATGTTGGCTGGTTGGTACTTGATTGAGTACAGGGTTGTGGATCACAGCGTTGGGTTACTAACCCCGAGGGCTGAAGGAAGTGTTAGGTGTTGGCTAGTCCAGCCCCTTGTTGTAGGCAGGCCTGAGAGGGGAAGTGTGTACCAGTATTCAGCTGGCCCTAAATGCAGTGACAATGTCCTGCTAGTGTCTTGATTCCCAGTCTATGTGTTCTCTTCAATTTTTCTAAAATAACTTTAACCTTTCTTTGCCACTTAGACCATAATAAAAGCAAATCACACTTTATAATACAAGGTGTTGCATGAGGGTCCTTGAGTGGAGGCCCTGAAATGAATGAGGGTACGTAACTGTGAAAAGACCTGTTTCTAAACTTGTAACTGTGAATTTCTTCCCTTCTACCCCTAGTTCCTTTGCTCTGAGCCATGTGTGGGCCTTGCACAGTGTTTACAAGGGGATGTCACTCTGATAGGCAGAGGGCATGGGTTCTTGCTTAGAGTAAACCCACTAACTGTGTGAACCTGAGCAGGGCCCTCCATGTCTAGGGGCACAGTTTTCTCTGTCCAGTGAGGGAATCCAGGTGTACAGGACCCCTTCCAGCACTAACAACATGCTCTAGGGGATTTGGTACAGTTTTGTCACAGCCTCTAGGGAAGAAGAACCACCTGTGCTTCCTCTGTCGGTCTTTTACCTATCAGGTTAGAAATCCCAGTGTTTCCAAAGGATTCCTGTGCACTTTTTTCTTTCTATGTCAGACACCAGCGATTTGGTCTTAAAGATAAGCAGTGCTCCATTTGATGAACTTAAACTGCAAACAAGCACAAACGAGCTTATATTAAGATGGAAATTGGGGAGTGCAGTGGGAATGTTGTTCTAACTCCAAGAGTTTTGCTTTTCACTTAGCAGTGTATGCTAGTGTTGTAATGGGTGGTTCTTCTTTTTTTGGAGTGATTTGAATTTGTTGCTGTGGTGGCATTTTTTTATGGCAACTGCTGTTGCTACACATCTGGCATTTGATAAAATGGTTCCCAAAGCCCAGGGGTCCAGACAGAGCCCAAGTACTCCTCATCTCCGCTGAACCTGCCAAGGATGTGGAGAAACACAGGTCAGAGGGCATGGTGGCTCTGTGCCGTGTTGATGAGGCTTGATTTGCAATTGCCGAGTTCCTGGGGTATCATCAGGGTTCCTCCAAAAGTTAGCCGGGCTACTGACATTTTACATTCGAAATGCCCTCTCCCCTTTCTGTGGAGGTGGAGGGTACAAGAGAGGAGAGCATATTTGGAAAGAATATTTTCTGATTTATCGCAATGCAAATATTAGCATGGCTTTTTGTTTGCTTTAAAAAAAATATTTATTTATTTATTTGAGGAGGAATGGGCAGAGGGAAAGAGAGTCTTAAGCAGACTTGGCGCTGAGCATGGAGCCTGACATGGGGCTCGATCCCATGACCCTGAGATCATGACTTGAGGCCAAACTAAGAGTCGAACACTTAACTGATGGTGCCACCCAGGCACCACTGTTTGCTTGCTTTTTTAAACCAAAAATTCATAAATAGGAAGTAGAGGACAACCAAAGTCCTACTGAATGTCTGAGTGTGGCAGGCCAGGAATATGGCCTGTTTTTAGGTATCTCATTTAAAATGGAAAGTTCCAGTGTGCTTTGGGGCCAAAATCTCTAAAAGAAATCCTGCCTGGGAGGTGTATTAGGGGGTCACTGTATATTTGCTAGTTTATATCTTGATGACTAAATTGGCAAAAGTTTTATTTTTCCTGGTAAACATTCAGGAGGCTTTGCCCTCACTCCTTTCCCTAACAAAATCGTATTTGTCATATGTGTATGAAGCAAACGGCTGTTAAAACTGTCCACACATCTGTGATGATATGAAAATTAGTGGTGGCAAACAAAGATTTCCTTTCTAAGGTGCCACAGGGTCTCAGATGAAATTGAGTTTATCCTAATATTTCTCTCAAGTTGTGACCAAGTGGAAACAAAATTGACCATGCCTTAGAGGCCAGTGTGAATGAATAATAGCATGACAAAAGGGTTATTATTTGTGAAAACTTTAGGTAACCCCCCCATATGACTTAGAAAATGAGAAATTTTCTCTTAAAATATATATTACTCTTGTTTATAAATTTTAGAAGGTATAAAACTTTTATTATAATAAAGGGTTATGCTTATTTTAATTAATAATGAAGCACAAAGTTATCACCTAGTACAAAGTCTTTTTAATTACAGGAATGAAAAACTCCCAAGATGTTGAATCAGATCATAATGCGGATTCTAATTTGAGTGTTTAACTTTGAAAGTGTTTGTGAACTGCACCTGTATATCAAGCTCATGAATTATTATATGCAGAAACTTTGTGCTGATAATAGTAAAAAATGTATTTAATGTGCCATTTTTAGTGTGCTGTAAGAATGAAATGTTTATTTTTCATTAAACAATGTGTTTTCATTTCTTTTAACATTTTGGGCAAATATGTGATTTATTAACCCATAAATTTTCCTCATTCTTTAAGAAAAAATAACATACCAAAATTGTAATAAAAATGTAACAGGCAAGAAAAGTGAGTTTCTAGTCATGTTCTAATGAAGCCTGTGTTAGGTCATTCTCTTATAGGTAGAGTCAAATACCCACCCATCAAAAGACCTTTATTGTTTTAAATTAACTTTTGAGATGGTTTGTGGTCAGTACTTTTATCCCTCTGTTACTTTATTGCAACTTTTGATTTTAAACTCTACCCTAAAGAGTTATTGAAGACATGGGAATTATGTGTTGTGATGGAGGTGTTAGCAATATATAAGTGTATCAAATCAATCCCTTGTGCACCTTCACTTTGCACAGTGCCCTGTGTCAGTTACATCTCAATAAAGCTGGGGGAGGGGAGTGAGTTATTGTGTAGAAACCCATGTTTGTGTAAAATGTCTTGTGCTTGGCAGCTCACCTCGCGCTCAGGCCATGTTCTGAGAAGGGCAGGCAGCCCATCCTGTTGCCAAAACTTTCCACTGGGAGTAGTTTTGCAAGGGGTGGACGGGGAAGCGGGGCACTGAGGTGGGGGAGTTTCGCCTCCTTGGTGACGACATCATCTCTCTCTGCGTAGGTGAAGCTGCTCTCAGAGGAGAACCCAGGATGCAGACCCTCCCTGTGGCGTCTGCCCTCAGCAGTCACCGCACAGGCCCCCCGCCCATCAGTCCCAGCAAGAGGAAGTTCAGCGTGGAGCAAGGGGACGATGACCTGGACTGTGAAAATGACCATGCTTCTAAGATGAGTCGCATCTTCAGCCCCCATCTGTGAGTTTCCTCTTTCTGAAGTGAGGGCGTTCTGGTGTTGGCTTCCATGTGCTCCGTGCAGGGGCCATGTACTTCTGCAATTTGTACCAGCAATGAAGGGAAAGGATGAACAGGGCTCTCCTGCCAGGCAGGGCATTAACTGTTTTTGATAACTTGAGAGATGACCTCTTCTTTCCTTCCAACTTGTTTGTATGAGTGTGTGTGTGTGTGCGCGCGCGCGTTCTCCACGGATGTTAGCTTTCTCTTCCAGCTTCTGGGGGGGTGGTTGTCTGAAGACTGCCTTTTCTTGCCTGTATCACCGATGGTTGTTAGGAGAATCAGTCTTTGGTGAATGTCTTATGGGCCAGGAAATGGAAGGAAAGGTTAATGCCTGAACAGACGTATGTAAAATGTTTTGCTTAGGAGTCTAGAGTTGTACATATTAAGAAGTACAGTAGCGGGGCGCCTGGGTGGTTCAGTTGGTTAAATGTCTGCCTTCGGCTCAGGTCATGATCCCAGGGTCCTGGGATCGAGTCCCGCATCAGGCTCCCTGCTCAGTGGGGAGCCTGCTTCTCCCTTTCCCTCTGCCTCTGCCCCCCTCTCATGCTTGCTCTCTCTCACTCTCTCTCAAAATAAAGAAATAAAATCTTAAAAAAAAAAGTGCAGTAGTCCCTCTCCTCCCCCTTATCCGAGGGGTATATGTTCCAAGACTCCCAGTAGATGCCTGATGCACAGATAGTACCAAACCCCGTATATACTGTGTGTTTTCCTAAATATGGATACTTATAAGAAAGTTTAATTTATAAATTAGGCATGGTAAGACATTAACAACAATAACTAATAAAGTAGAACAATTATAACACTGTCATAATAGTTATGTGAGTGTGGTTTTCTCTCAGAATATCTGTGGTACTGTACTCACCCTTCTTCTTCTTGTGGTGATGTGAGATAATAAAATGTCTACGTGCTGCAGTGAGGTGAATGACATAGGCATTGGGATGTAGCATTCAGCTACTGTCGACTCCAAGGAGGATCATCCGCTTCCAGGCCACAATTGATTGTGGAAAGCAAAACTGCAGAAAGGGGGCGGAGGGGAAACGATTGAATTAATTCTCACCTTGTATATTCATGGTATAAACTTGAGACCTTCCTAAAGTGGGAAAGATGGCTTTTTGTGTTTATGATAAGGTGCTGCTCATCGCTTCTGGTATGTGAGCCTCTTGTAGCTGTTGAGAACCAGGCTTGGGGCAGGTCCTCCATCTGCCACCAGCATTCTTTACGATCATGACATGAGTTTCTCCCACTCTCTGGGCCTCAGTTTCCTTATTTGTGAAACAAAGGGGTTGACACGAAAGTTTTCTGAATCCGTACAGCGTTCCCACGTTTACATTGGGAAAGTAGCTTACTTCTGTGTGCCTTGTTCCGGCTTCCCCTTTGCACTCTCTTCTGAACACGCATGCCCTGCAAAGGGAGTGGAATGCCTTTTCCCGTGTTCTCGGCGCTTGGAGACAGCCGGTCAGCGGCCCGGCGGGTCCGCTTTGGCACCCGTGCAGCCAGTTGGTACTGTCAGGGTCGGGGAGCTTGTCGGGGGTGGTGAGGTAGCCTGATGATTAGGAGGTGGAGCTTTGTAGATCCAGGTTACAAGAGCCTACTCTCTTTTCCGCCTCCCCAGGCATGAATTGATGTTTTGTAATTATTCACAGTGCTTGGCTTCCCCAGTTCTGATTTCTGAGGATGCTGCTGATTCTGGCAGGAACGTGACTGCTCAGAGTTGCTGTTTTCTCGTTGGCGGAGACCTTGCGCGGCGAGAGGCCTCTGGTAACGCCTGCAGCACTGTGCTGTCTCAGCGCCCGCAGTCCTGAGCATTCCGCGCATTCCAGCCCGCTTGGACTGTTGTGTGCAGTCATAAGACACACTGACAGAGGTATTTATCCTCAAATAAATCACTGTAGTGTTAGTCAGAGGCTGAGCCTGCAGTCTGGAGCCCTGGAATTTGCTACAATCAGGAATCCAGCAACAAGGCACTGCAAAACAATGAGCCCTTCCAAATAGGGAGAGGCTCGTCATTTAGATTATGGGCGCTCAACTGTTTGTTCATTCTCTTGTTACTAGGAATTTCTTCTTCTCCTCTGCTGCCATCCTCTTTCCTGAAACCCACATAGGAGACATTTGGTCTTTTTTTTTTTTTTTTTTGGAGGAAGGAAAGGGGAGGTAGCCCTGAAACAGTATATTTTGTGAGCAGACATGCCTTGGTTTAAATCGCAATTCTGCCACTTACTTGGACAGTCATTTAATGTACCTGGGCCCAATATCCTTCTTTGTAAAATGCCAATGATAATAGCTCATGTGAGGCCTGTCATGAGCACAAGAATCAGCATATGCAGGGAGTTTGGTGCAGTATGACACTCAATTGATGATAGTAGCTATTTTATTATTGCTAAGTCCCTGAGTCTGATATTGATAACAATGATAAAGAATAAAAATACTATTATGGTGAATTTAATGCCTGAGTGTGTGTGAATTTCATTCAGAAAGTCTGGGCTCAAATTTCAGCTTCTTTATTTTTCAGTGGAAGTAATCATAGTTATTTCCTCATAGGATGATTGTAAATGCCTAGTGCAGTGCCTGGCATCTAGATGGTAAGCACTCAGCCAGTCATCATTAATATTATTATTTCAGTGTTAAAACAAAAAATGAGGGGCGCCTAGGTGGCTCATTTGTTTAAACATCTGCCTTCGGCTCAGGTTATGATCCCAGGGTCCTGGGATCGAGCCCTTCAGGCTCTCTACTCAGCAGGGAGTCGGCTTCTCCCTCTTTCTCTGCCTGCTGCTTCCCCTGCTTGTGCTCTCTCTGTCAAATAAATAAATAAATTCTTAAAAAAAAAAAAACCCAAACAAACTAGAAAATGATTTTGTAACTCCTTGGGTCGTTGCAAATATGACCTTGAATTACAGAGGACTATAAATAATTTGAAGTGTAAATAATAGAAATAGAATTGCTAGATTTCATGTGCATCTCACAATTGATGTCATCACACAGAATTTTAGGCAAACAGAGCAGCACCGCCACTAACCCCCAGGCCACACAGCCTGGACCTCTAGGTGATCAGCATGTGGTCTGTTCATTCTGCTGTCACTGTTCTCCTTTGATAATTATTTGTTTCAATAACAGTAACAGTGTTTCTATTTGTATCTTCTAAGAGCAGAATTACAGATTTTAGAGGCAAATTGGAAAAATGCTGCCTCTCTTCTTCATGTTGTAGGGTACTTAGTATTGTTGGATTTGAGGGTATGTTTCCTCTTTGAGCTATAGGGTGTTACCTCCTTTTTATTTGATATGTCTAAGAATTTTTTTTAATAATAAATTACAAATTGATGTTTCTTTGGAAAAGAATGGTCTAGTATATTTGTCTCTTTAAGGAAATTACAAAATGATTTTTTGCCTTTTGTCTTCTTAGTACATGTTCATGTTGTGTAGTGAAAATGTGTTTTGTTTATTTTATCACTGAAGAAATCACAATAATTCTGGGCATGGAGTGTTGCTGAAAAACAGTTTTGACAGCTAGTAAGAGAGTTTCAAAGATGCAAGCCTTGGCTGCATTTCATTATAATCATCATATTGAGATACTTTCCAATAGAGAGGAGAAGAGATTGAGTGTCTCTGAGCCAGAGTAGGAAGCTACAGACAATGACTAAATTTCCTCTGACTTAATTCAGGGAGGAGGACAAAGAAGAGAGGTATCCTTAGTGATTTCTCCAGAACTTAGAATTGAAAATTTCTGGACTCTTATTCCAACCCTGTATAGCCTGGGTCATTTGAACTCTTCATTAACTTTCTTGTTGATATGGTGACTCAGAGAAGTATTTTCTTGTTTGTTTCTTAAGAAAAGTGTTAAGAATATGAATGTTTTATTTAGAAATTGAAAGATACCGTGTCTCTGAGAAAGAAAGTGGATTAAGTAAGGTATGGAGGTGTGGGTGTTGGGATTCTTCTCCTGGAAATGTCAATAAGTAATTTTTTTCTACGACGCTGGTATTCAGGTGTGATCTGCTAAGGAACAGCTCTCTTTTCCTCTATCCATGACCCATATGGACTCATGGATTGCTATTTTATAGCTGTCCCTAATTTGGTGAATAAGAGCACTTTCAGCTGGTTCCTGTATCCTTGTTATGTGCCGCCTTTTTTTCCTTAAAGCACTTCTTACTTTCTGGCAAAAATTTTTTTCCTCTTGTAACCAACCTGTGCCAGCCATGGAATCAACCATTTCTCCAGGGGACCCTGGTTCCTTTTCGTGGTGAATAGGATTTAGAAGCCAAAATCTGGGTGCTAAGTATTTTTATGGTGTCATTGCCTTTAGATTTGAGTTGTCTAATATCATAGACCACTAGCTACGTGTGGCAGTTCAAATTTAAAATTAAATAAAATGTAAAATTCAGTTCTTCTGTTGTACTAGCCACATTTCATACTCAGCAGACTACTTCATATTTCATACTCAGTGGCTACCATATTGTACAGCACAGATACAGAATATTTCTACCATCACAGAAAGTTCTGTTGAACAGCACTCTTTGCTAAGAAATCATGAGTTCATATTAATACTCCCAATTCTAACCCGATTCCACAGAATTCTTCCTCATCATCCCCCACTCCATATTTGCATCTCCCTCCTTCCCAGCAGTACATTTACTTTATCGTTCACTCCTATAGTTCACATAAAATACTTTCAGAATTGCTGTGCCCATACCACTTTGAAAAACAAACCTACCAGAAAGAGTTCAAGATTTGCTGGCAGTTCTTTTTTTGTTCCGTGCTGAGTATATAACAAAGTACTGGTAACTTTGTAGTCCACTACTTCCCCTGTCCCCACTTCTGTGTTGTGTTAACAAGAATGTATGGTTGGGTTCATTCATATATCTCTGCATTCAGCGGTAGATTTTTTTCCATCTTTGTTGATTTCACTTTATTTTTTGAATATATAAAACATTAACATGCTTCTAAAAGTCAAGACTATATTAAAAAAT